AGGGAGCCGAGACGGCGGCTCCCTCCCGCTTTGCGTTGCCACATTCATTTTTCTAGACAGCAGACGCTTCAAGAAAGCTCTTTTTTGGCTAATTCACAGCTGGCTGCGACTGCTCCAAACTTTTAAAAAATGCGAGTGCGTGTGTACACAGCACGCGCGGAGCAAGCAGAGCCCGTCAGCAAAGAGCTCGTGGCGACACAGGGCGGGCAGCAAAAGTCCAAGGGGGAGCTGTGGCCAACAAGGGTCAATATTTGGGGCGTTCCGGCTTTGCCCGGACACACCAGCTGGAGCCGGCGCTTCCCGGTAGCTGCCGGGTCCGGCTCCTCCCAACACTCCTGGGTGCAGGGGCTGGGACCTGTGGCAGCTCTGGGGATCCCTGAGGTCCCCGCAGAGCCCTGGGGCCAAGGCCAGTCCTGCCCTCGACCCTTCCCTGCACGCAGGAAACGGCATCGGCAACAGATACGGGCTGGAAGGAGCGGGATTTGCAGAACAGACTTTTTGTGGGGTGGGGAGGAAAGAAAGCGAGGAAAAAAGTAACCCAGTTCCACATTCCCCATGGGTCTCCGTCCCCAGCTGCGCCCTCCCGACACATCTCGCGGCGGGAACGTGCGGCACACACGGAGCCAGAGCCCACGGAGCCCCACACGCAGGACGGGCACCAGTCCAGGACCCCGACATGGGCCGAGGAGCCAAACAAAAATCAGGCCTCTTTCCTTTTCTAACACCTCTTCTCTACATTCTCCCCTATAACATCCATGCGTCACCCAAGACTTTCAGAAAAAAAAAAAAAAAAAGGCAATTTATTCCGTTTCTGCTTCCGAAGGTCTGAGCTCCTCCACGGTCACCATGGGACAAGCCAGGCCACACAGGAGCCCCGGCTCCTCCGGGATTTCAGAGCCCCGGCGCTCACCCGGAAGCACCGCGGCCGCCCCAGGACGGGTCCCTCGGCTCCGGGACACGCAACGGCGTCACGGAAACGTTTCTAGTAACACTACCCCGATTTCAGAGTCCCCGTTGCGCGCAGCACGTGTGGGGAGGCTGCAGGCAGGCGATCTCCCAGCAGTTCAAATGCATTTTTGCAATTCCTCCATCTGGACCCTCATCCTGGGAGATTCAAACCAGACTCACTGCCCACAGCAGCGATGCGGAGCTGCCGGCACAAGCGCTGCAGCCCTGACGCCCAGAGGAGAGGCCCTTCCAGCGGCCAAGTCAATATTGACTTTATTTTTTATTTTATTTTTTCCCCTTTCCTTTCAAGCCTGCCTGTTGCACCTGGATCACGAAGCACGAACCTTGTTAAAAACAAAAACACAACTACAGCAAAACAAAAAGGACAATTTGGAGAAGGAAAGCCCGGCGTCGCAAGAGGAACATTCGCGCGGAGCAGAAGGCCTTGGGGACGCATCTCCCGGCGCTGCTGCCCAGGCCATGCAGCATCTTGCGGCCGCTCCTGCACGGGACGCGGAGCCTCCCGGGAGCGATCCCGTCGGATCGCGGAGCCACACGCGAGGATACGTGGGGCAGGGGGACACGGGAGGAGGATGCCAGCGCCACGCGGGGCTCCTGCACCCACGGGAGGGAGCGAATCCAGGGGCTGCTTCCACCCCTGGAGCATCCCTCCAACTTCTGAGGGACCCAGGGGGACAGGAATGCTGAGGCGCACACGGAAAGCTGGAAGCTCCCCCCACCTGGCAGCCCCCCATCACCGCCGCGGCCTTCACACAAAGGCGGCAGAAAGGAAAGCAGAAATCTGCGCTTTAAACCGGAGCTGGGAGCCGGGAGGAGCACGCGGAGCAACCCCCAAACCCGGCCGGGGCTTCAAAGATCCACGGGGGCAAAAGCGGGAGCGGGAAGGAAGAGCCACCGTTCCCGGGCCGCAGCAGGGAAGGGGATCGGCCGCAGCACACAAAGCACAGCCGGCGCCGGGCGCGCAGCCGCGAGCACCGAGCGCGCCTGTTCCTTGAGGCTTATCTGCAATTCAAATGCAAAAAGCAGGAAAAAAAGCAAGAAAAGAAAGAAGAAAGGAGGGAAAAAAAAACGTCACCATTTCCAGCACAGAGCAAGGGGCTCCTTTGTGACGGGTCGAGCACCCCAAGAGATGGGGGGTCCAGGGGACCAGCCGGGACCCCCGGCCGAGGCCAAGCTCTGGGGTGGGGGCTCTTCCCTCTTATCCGCCCAGGGACAAAACAGGGTATTGGCAGCGCCAGGCCCCGCGCAGGCAGCGCCGCGAGCGGTTATTTATGGCTTGTGGCTAAAGCAGATAACGCAGTCCCCAGGGACGGCCGGCGCGGTGCAATAAAGCAATTGCACTTTATGGATTAATCGGCATTTCATCGGGAGAGCAGCGGCGCGGGGCCGGCTGCGCCGCATCCCGCCGGGCCGGGCACCGCACGCGGCGGCTCCCCGGGGCTGGAGCCCGGCCAAAACCACTGGCCTTAATTCCTGAGTCCACTCGATTTCGCTGGCTTTGCAAATAAGGACTTTGTGTCGGGGGGGAAGCGCAGCAGAATGGCTATTGTGGAGCGCACGCAGAAAGGGCCCTTTGAGAGGCCACTCCGCCGGAATAAAAGTCACTTTCATCCTGAATAATTAGCGTGCTCGGTGCACGCTAACGATTCCCACATAAAGGGACTCTTATTCCCGAGCCGACAGTCCCGTGGGGAAGCAGCTCCGCTCTCCCGCGCGGCCTGGACGCCCGGCTCTGTGCGGCACGTCGGCCCTGGAGCGGGGAAATCTGGACGGAGCAGCGGAGCCCCAGCGGCTCCCATCCCCCATGCGGATCTTGGGCAAAATCTGGGATGCTGGAGGAAAGGGGGACGAGCAGGGGGACGATGCACGGGATGGACCTTGCTGGTTACGCGCATGCACGATGCACCGGGAAGAGCCGCTCTGCACAAGGGTTAACATGGCTCCTGAGCGGACAAAGACGTTTAGCTGCATTTTAAGAAGTAAAGAGGGAAAAAAAAAGTCTTTGGCACGGTGAAGCATCCCATCTGTCTATAACTGCTAAAAATGATTAAAGAGGAAACTCGTGCAGTTCTGTCTGGTCTGATTTTGCCTTCCAGATATTACTGACCCCCAGGGCATCTCAGAGGGCTCCGCTGCGCGACCCAGTAACACCCGTCCGGGACAGCCGGGCGCTCCAAGGCGGGGGGCAGGTCGGGGACGGCGCTTCGCCCGTTTTTACCTTTTCCGAGCTCCGGGGAAGGAAGCGTTATGACTTTTAGAAAGCCAGAGGAGCGCAGGGCTGGGCGGAGGGAGGGTTTCGCGGGCAGTGGAGGCCTCCTAACAGCTGTGGAGGAGAAAACCAAGCGGGTGAGTAAGTGCAGGCCAACCGCGGAGCCGCTCGCCGCGGAGGAAGCGCGTCCGGGCAGAGAGAGCGCGGACACAGCCCGGCACTCCAGCGGAGCGGGAGCTCTCCGCTCCCAGCAGCGTTTGGGGATGGAGGGACACAGGACATGCTAAATCTGCATGGGGGTCTGGAGCAATCCCAAGGGAATGGGGAAGAGCCTTTGCCCATCGCTCCGGCACACCGCCGCATTCCCGGAGCAGGAAGGTGTTGGTGCCTCCTGCGTCCAGCCGCTTCCGCACCGCTTCCTACAGCGGCTGCCGCTGTAGGAAGTATTAAAACCAACTGTTTCCTTTCCTAAACAATAAAAAAGAAAGGGAAAAAAAGGCGCTATATCACAGCCTGGCGCTGAGGGACAGCAGGAGGAAGCAATTGGTGACCGCAAGCCCAGAGCTGCCCCGGGCAGGTGCCGCATGCGGCCGGCGCCGGCACGGGGGCAAAGGCGCAGGTGGGAGCTGGGCGGATACGCAGCGGGATCCGCTCGCCCCACACGTGGCCAGAGCCTTTAATCTGCTTCCCCATCTGTGGACTGATACGCCAGCCACAAAGAGCCGCATCCCCGGCGCGCGGCGCTGGCTGCGAACAAAGAGCCACCCCACGCGCAGCCCGGGGACGAGGCCACCACGGCTTCACGCAGATTAAAGCACCAACCCGTCCGGTGGGCCATGGAAAACCCACATTGGGCCCGGCAGGGCCTCGCAGCGGAGCGGCAAGGACGCCCCGCGCTGCTGAAGCCTCCCCTCTTTGCTGCAGCCTCGCAGCAAATTTCCACGGGAATGGTTATTCCCGCATCCCCTCGGGCTACCCCTCGGGTTAAGCATGCGCGGGGTCACCGCGCCGCAGCCCGCTGGTCCCCGAGCTGCCGCGCACAAAGACGCCGTCCGGGGCCCGTTAGAGCGCACGCTCCCGCGTCCCGTGCGGCGCCACGGCTCAGCCTGGAGAAACAGCATCTTGCAAGCGGCTAATTAGCGCACCCAATTAAAGATGCAACTTTCAACTCAATTAGGCTCTCAGTCATCTGCGATTCACATTTGGGCGCCTCAGTCCACGGGTTTTGGAAGGGACCGAAGTGCTGCTTGCCCCCGGCCGCGGCTGCAGCCAGCGCTTTGGTTGCCGATCCCTTGGCCCCGACCAGCATTAAGCAGCGCCTGGGCCGCCTTTAATCCTGCAAAGCATCTGCACAGGGGTAGCTTTAGCCCGTTGGGTTGCCTTGGCTAAGGAAGGACGTTGTGGGTCTATATTTAGCACTAGAAACGGCTGAGGACGTTGCGCTGGGGAGCGCAACCCTCCACAAGGGAGCAAGATCCAGCAAAACAGCCCTCTGAGCCCATCCAGACCCACTTTAAACAAGAGGCTCAGAATGAAGAAAACAAGAAGTTTGAGCTGCATTAGAAAATGCTGAAAATATTTGCTGTTGCTGCTGGCAGGACAAGCTGCCAAGGTCCACGAAACACAAGCGACTGCGGAGTTGAGTCAACAGCAGAGGCCAGTCTGTAAATAGCTCTGAGTTGGTCTTGCACTGCCCTGCGAGACACGGGGGAGAGGAAAAGCCCCTGTCCCCCACGGCAGGGCCAAGGTCCGGCAGCACCTTGGTGTCGGGCGAAGGCCGAGCGCGCGGCGCCGCGGGGACCTGCGCCCCCTCCGCCACGCAGGACGCGGCAGGGCACGAGTCCAGGAGCCGCTCGGCAGGAGGTCGTGCGGATGAAGCCCGGTCCAAGCACAACGAGCGTCTTGTCTGCTTGGCAGAGCGCAGAGCCCGCAGGAAGGAAGCGGGAGAGATGCATTCAGCGCAGCCGGGCTGAGTCAAGCTCCCCTTGCCGGCCCCGGGAGCGCGCGTGCTCTCCGCAGAGCCGACTTCCCAGCCTGGAACGGCTGGACGCATCCCGGCCCATCCGCCAGGCTTCAGACACAACTCTCCTACACAGGCAGGCGCCCTCGCCAAGCCCCGCCACCCGCCGGGCAAAACAAGCGGCGTCATCGCGCTGCCCTCGGCGCGCGGGCAGGGTGCTGCACGGGGCCACGCGGGCCAGGGACCCCGGGGGACACAGAGCGGGGAGCCGGAATCGCTCCCCAGGCTGCAAGAGGAAGTTCGTGGCCACGATGAGGCGGCGTTTCACTCGCGGTTGCTGCTTGCGCCAACTCAGCAGCTTCGGAGAACCGGCCCCGACCGTGCATGGGGCCGTCCCAGCTCCTCCGCTCCTGGGAAGCATCTCTTGGGCTCCCAAGGAGCCCAGGGCCTCGTCCGCCAGTGCTCCAGCAGGATGGATCACCTGCGGAGCACGCGTTGAGCTCATTCATGTCGCTTTTCCCTTTATTTTGTCTCTGCTCGCCAGCTTTAGGCCTCATGTCCACCTCTTCCTCCTGCCAAGTTGCCAGAACAAGGTGGCTCCCAACAGCCGCTGCAGAGGCTCCACAAGATCGACGACTCTGGCGACCTGCCGGAGACAAACCTGTGCAGAGCATCCAGGTGGCCGCACTGGCCATTGCTCGCCCACCCAAGGGAACTGCTCCTGCTCAGGAGCCAAAGCGCCCAGCTGGGATGGAAGAGCCACCGCATCCCTGAGTGCAGGAGGCCCAACACCTCGTGGGTCCCTCGGGACGCTCCCCCGTCAGAGCAAGACTCTAAGACTAAGTGAAAAAGCATCTGTGTTCCTCTTCCCAGCCCCTCTCCCTGCCAGGTTCCTGGGGAGTGAGTCACTCTCACAAAGCTAAATCTAGACAGTTTGGCTGCTCCACGCATCCACACCTTGCCAATCACGCAGGGCGGCGAGGCTCATCCTCCTCCGGCTGCAAGAGCCGCAGCACGAGGGCTGCCCCAGCGCGAAACCCCCCTCACCGGAGCGCTCCTGCTCTCCTGTCGCAGGAATGGCAGCACCCAGGGCCTCCTGCGCCATTCCCAGATGGGGAAGGGAGTTGGGACCGTGGGCAGGACAGGGAACAGGGCACGATCACAGCCCCTGCCCCGCTGGAGCCACCACACTACAGCCCCTCTGTCCCCTTGCTCTCCAGGAAGGTGCAAAGCGAGTCCTGCCCACGGGAGCCTCCAGATCCACGTGGATCCAAGCCGCCAGGCCTGGATCCAGCGCCCCAGCAGCCAGGAGGCCATCGCCAGGATCAAGGGACACGGGGTCGGGGACAAGCTGCAGGTAAGAAAGAGTGGAGCAAGGCAAAAGCGCAGTCGGCTCTCCAGGAAGAGGCGACTCCACATGCCAAGGCTTTGGGGCACAGGGCGGACTCAGCTCCTCCCTGCAGCCGGCCAGGTGCTCCCACTCCTCATCCCACGGCCACGAAGGCGCCTTCGTCTGGCTCAGGGAGCAGGGTCGGAGCCGACCAGCACCCTTGGGCCACACAGGACCCCGGCGCAGAGCAGCAGCCTCCCCCACGGAGGCCCGACACAGCAGCAGGGCCGGGAGCTGGCGCCGACGCCCTTTGTCCCACCGAAAAGCTCTTCTACCCACCCCATCGGCTGGACTTTGTCTCCTATCTCTTCCGCCACTGAAGCCAGAGTGGGATTAAGAGCTCCCAGCAGGGCAGAGTGAGGGAGCAGAGCCGACGCAGCACCCAGCTCCGGAGCAGGAAGGAGCCCGCGCCCGGAGCGCTGCACAGCGCTGCCAGCGGCCGAGCTCCGCAGTCCCACTGTGGCCACAATGTCACGATCTAGTGGACACCACATGTCCCCAGACAGTCTCACCAGGGCCAACGTGCCACTGCCCGCATCGCCCTCGTGCTCCTCTGGACACTGCAGTGCCCCGGCCTCCGGCGAAGGCCCCATCACAGATCCATCAAGGATTGTGGCGGGATACCCCAGGTGCCCGTGGAGCTCCCAGGGCCATGTGGGATTTAGGGAGCCGCATGCCGGCGCTGCACAGGGATCGGGCCGAGCCGCTTCCCTCCGGCACACCGCCGCAGCCCGTTTCCAAAGGCAACCCGGCTTATGTAACGGCGGATGCCATCCCTCCCGCCCCCACGGCTGGCGGGCTCGCGGCCACACTG